GCCTGGTTTCTAGTGCACAGGGAATTATGGGAATTTATTTTAAACACATTTAACTATACGTGCAGTATAAAAACATGCATGTTTATCAAATAAATGACTGAGATAAATATATATTTACCTGCAGTTGTTTTAATTTCCTAATTGTAGCTTACGTTCTACATTTAAAATGTATCTCATACAGTATATATCATCAATGATAATTGTACCACTGTGTAAAATACAGGTTTTCACGCTATAATAATTTTATCATGCTTTAATAACACTATGTAAAAGCTTCATCACAGCATTATTCTAGACAGAGAAAATAAGAGATTTCTTCAAACTAGCAGTAATTGGTCATCTGGATGTAGCACTTTCTGCCTCCAGTGCAGCTTTGACATCTATACAGCAGTTTTCAGAAAGCATCCCTGTACCTGGTGTAACTGCCTTTAGGCTGGATTCAGTTGTAAGACATCCATTCACCCCTGAGTGTATCCTTGTTTTCCTGACACACTGTGCAAGAGTACCACAGAGACAGCCCACAGGTATGGAGTTATCTGAAATATACATGTACTGCATCTAACAAGCTCTGTCAGGTCATGCTAGTGGAGGATGATACCATGCCTAGATCAAAAGTCTAGAACAAAATAGTTATAGTTAAATAGTTATTATATGTATCTATATACGATAGATAGATAGATAGATAGATAGATAGATAGATAAAGACATGTACTGTATATAGATAGTTAGATAGATAGATAAATAGATAGATAGATAGATAGATAGATACGTATATAGATAGATAGATACGTATATAGATAGATATAGATAGATAGATATAGATAGATAGATAGATAGATAAAGACATGTAGATAGATAGATAGATAGATAGATAGATAGATAGATAGATGGATATTTAGATGTAAAGATAGATATGTCTAATTGTCTCCTTAGTGAGAAGACACTCTGTAGAGAATTGGTATACTGTTGGTATAGAGTTGTCATGTATTTGAGCTCTGCTGAGCCAATACACATATCACAAGTGTCATGCTATGAAGAGTGGCCAGAGTGCCCTGGATCTGGTACCATCTCTCTCTGTTGTCTGTACAGCCATTGGAGGCGATGCAGATGGAAGAACGCGGTGCTGCAGTTGTTTTGCGGAGACGCTCCTGTGACTTTTGCAGGAATAACAAGTGGCTTGTCCTTCTTTTGTCACCGGTGCCCCCTGTGCCTTGATAAATGGCCCCCAGGCTGACTCCTCCCGGTCCTCCACCTGCAGAGCTGACCTCTCCGGCAGCAGCAGCGCTCTTTAACCCTCTCCTCGCCGGCTCATTTCCAGCCAGGGTCTTTCATCACAGCACACCGCGTTCCTTAATCATCTCCATTCACCTGCTGCGCCGGCAAGGAGGGAAGGGATTGTCCCTTGAAGTGGCCACACATATACTTAGGATCAGTTAAGGATTGCTCTTCCATACATCTTGAATTTGTATTAACACACTGGAGAGGAGGGGGCTGGAAATCTGGAGTATTGTAGTGAGTGCTTCCCATGTGTGATATTCCCATCACAGGTTGGAGAATAAAATAAAACAACTACCCTTGTATTTCTAGTACTTTATATTCAGACTGACACTCAATTGATAACACTGCAGTGTAGCTGAGCTGCTTCCCAAGTCATGTGCAGACTTTGGAGAAAGAAGTTGTCTGAGTGATTTACTAATTAGAGAAGGAAGAGCTTACATGTACAGATACAGATGTGGTCTATTACACAGTACACAGAGCAATGAAATGTTGTAACCCTTAACAAACAATTAGTTGCATTGCCCATGCTCTACCATTAATCCCTATGGAAGGCACACAGGCAGCCAAAGGAAACCTACAAAGAGATGAATGTGTGGGCTGCCATTGCTGACCTTCTGTTAAAAGTGCCAGTAGCCAGACTTTCTGTACATTTCATTTTTTTTGTTATTAGCCACAGTACTGGAATTAGAATACACATAGTATCCGTTCTTGTTACACAGGGCAATACATGTAACCCTAACAGAAGACAATTAGGGGCACTATACACAACCCAACATGGAGGCACACTAGTGATTAAAGTAAATCTGTCATGAGAGAAGCATGGAGGCTCCACCACAAACCACAGAAAAGGCTAACAATCTGTATGACCTTTTCTTTAAATCACTAACCTGGGACACATCTGCAGCTCAGGACTGTACTGATTTAAATATATGTGTTTGTAGCCAGTAGCTCAGAATATTAAAGGCAGATGATTAGCATTACAGCCAGTGTTTTAGCATTTTTGGAAGCAGTTTAGCAGCAGCCCCTATATTTCCACCAGGACAGGTTTGCTTTAGGTCTTGAGGTTTTATGAAAACCTCCTGTTTTGGGATGTGCCATCAAATCATTTATGAGGAGGATATACAAAAACTTTATTAAAATAAAAGTATAGTTATTGCCCATGGAAACCAATCACCCATCATTTTTCACTGTGCAGTTTTTTTTAAATCAGCTTACATTTAAAATCAGTGACACCTCTGATGTCAGGTAGGTCACAAACCTCCTAAACATGTCGATATTGCCTTTGTACCGCAGACAAAAAAACAACAAGTTTGTTATCCTAGAGGCTGGAGGATCAGTGAGGAGTATATAGATCACTGCCTCCGCTCCCTATAAAATATTCACCAGCTCAAACTGCACGACAAACATCTCTCTTTAATCTGTGTTGATGCTCCTGTGCTACAAAACATGTCATTCATTTCACACACACTGCGCAGCCCTGTCACTTAAATAAAGGCTCCTCTCCTGTCTCTGCCACCATAGGGACAGCAATAGTAAAAGGTGGCGCTTCCACAAAAGAAAACACTGCAGGGACACTTTTGCTGGCAGCCAGCACCGAAGAAGCTCATTGTTCACAAGATCAGCTAAAGAGGGGAAAGACACCGACCAAAATATGAACAGGAACCTTGAACAAATAACCAAACCAAAATATGCCACTTAACGAGCACCAAGGGACAGGCAGCAGCTGTTCCACCCTCCCTAATGTCATACATCTCATTTCAGCCATCAAATGAGCAACACATAGTGACACGTTACCCCTCCATCCAGGGGATGTCATCTCATAATTTGGCCGGGAACTGCCATGCACAAGAGTTTAATTCGGTGCAAATACACCATTCATATTACCTTCATCGTATTGATCACAGTGTATGGGGGATATATTACTCTATTCAAACACACATCAGATATGAACAATGCACCCAAGGGAGCGACATTTATATAAAAGAGCTCTGGTGAATTTATATTATCTGTGAAATGCAATGTAATACTAATCTGAAGCAAATGTGCACATGGCTGGTTAAAAAAAACTGGAGAGAAAGTAAAATGATCTCACTTTTAAAAATGTTTACTATATACAAAGATGTATATAGTGTAAAAAAAAAAAAGAAGAGTGACGATTCAGTTCGATGACCATACATGTGCAGACGGAATAAACAGGAGTTTGCCTTAGGCATGACCAAATAAATAAAACAAAATAATAAGAGAGAATCTATATTCTTTATTTTTTACATTAACATTGTGTGTCAAACACACACACACACACACACACACACAACCACATAGGTTAAACTCGATGGACCTGTGTCTTTATTCCTCCTTAACCACTATATAACCATCTCATCCCCAACCACTTTTGTTCCAATTCATGTGTTCCGATTTCTAGAACTCATTCAAGGATGTATAAACCAAGGTGTAGTATTTCTTGTTTGCCAGAACAGAACAGGTCCCAGATGTAAGGACAGGGTGCCAGTTCTGGGATGTCTGGGTAAGTGACAGGTCCAGCACAGAGCAGCCCCTTAGGTCGCTGTCCATGGTGCTTATGGACTGAGACTCTACTCACCTGCCCCGGCAGCACATCAGATCTAATGAATATCACTTCTTCATTCGTTTGCCCTAAAACATAGGGACTCATTAAATTTGCCTCTAACCTGTTGTACCCCCTCTGCTGCCTTTCTGATGGCAGGGTTTAGACGACTAGCTTGTGTCCTCTATAAATACTAATATTGTAATATATACGCGGTGCTGTCAGTTTTATTAGTTAAAGCATATCAGAGTGCAATAAATTATGTTTTCATTAAACGAATATAAACGACCAGGTCTTCCAGCATGCTGTCTATAGGATCCGAATACGCCAATGTACATTTGTCATTTGTTAGAGTCTTTGGTATTTGGAGGAAACTTCAAGCAATGTGAATACGACTTGCTATCTCTCCCGCTGAGATATAATTGGAGATGGACTATTTCCAGGGAACCCTCTACTAGACATAAATACACAAATGAATGCAAAACAGTGATGCTTTTCTTGTGACCTTTATAGCTCAGAGGAAGACCACAAAGCCGAAACGATTCATTCCACCCGACGCTTATAATCAGAAGTATTTGAGTCATATGAGTGGAGGCTTAAAAAGTGTGCTGTACACCTGTTGAAATGAGTCCCCTTATATTAGTGACAACTCAGTTTAATTAACCAAACTTAACCTGGCAGTCATTTTGCTGGAAGTAATTGCCACTATAGGGCACCTACAATCACAAGCTGTTGTAAAGCAGACTTAATTGAATTCTACTTTAACTTCACTCCATTCATCTTTAATGTGTGCACTGACTTGTTTGGGCTAATCCTGCATTTCAGAAGAAAGAAGAAGACCTGGGGTGACCCTGCCTGCCAAGCTAGTCCTACACCTGCTGCATTCATCAGACTGGCACGGCGTAGCCTGGGTACCTATCGCGCTGTCTGAATATATAATGGTTACAGCTGATGCGATGACCATGATGATAATACAGGGTGATAAAGTCACACTTTATATTCAGTGCAAATACCATGTTGGCAGAAGCTGCACCGGTTGTCACAGGTATGAAGCTTAATGTAAGCAAGAAGGAGACATGCCATGAAAATGAGGTTGTTTGGCTAGCTAAGTAGAAGTGTTGAGGGGTTAACTAGAAATAAGTGACCCATCTTAGGTTACCTGTGAGTTTTTCATCAGGTCTGCCCACATGCTGGTCCCATCCCCACCTCTCATCAACACGTGGTAAGCGAAGAAGTAGATGCCAGGTAGGGGACAGGTGAACTTGCCGGTGGATGGCTCATAGTAGTTACCAACATTAGTCACCACATCATCAAAGCGCAGCACTTCGTAGCCCTCGTGCGGTTTCTTCAGCCCAGCATAGAAGGCGATCTTAGGGCTGTAGTAGGACGACACATATCCCCCGGGTCCAGGACCTGGTGGTCCAGGCGGTCCTGGCCGGCCCGGTTCCCCTGGAGGACCTTTGGGACCCGGTGGTCCTGGTAATCCTCTGAGTCCCGATTTTCCCTTCCTGCCCTGGTCAGCCTTGGCCCCCTGCAGGTGGGGTGGGGGTGAGATTAGGGCATACTCTTGGCTGGACTCGGCCGACGAGGCTCCAGTCTGGGGGGTGTAGGGGTCACACACCATCCTGCAGCTGCCCAGCATCTCATAGTGGGTACTTGTCTTTGAGCTGCTTACCAGCAAAGGAATGGCTATTAGCAAGATGAGAACCATGGCCACCCCTATAGCCGCTCCAATCACCCTCTTGCGACGACTCAGCCTGGACGCTGCCAGGGCTAGGAAATCTTCTTCACTTTTGGAAGTAATGGTGGAAACTTATTAAAGGCAATTCCAGAAGAGAAATGTGAGCCAAAGGTAGCTTCCTGCAGGTGAAAATCTTCCACTTGCTGTCCAACCCAAACAGGTAGTCCTTGGTTGGATTAGTCCCGACTTATCCAAGAGTTCAGTATGTCCATGGGTCGTGTTCAGGGAGTGAAAACTTGCTCCTTCCTAATAGAGTATTTGCCTTCCCCAGTCTAGACTGCAGATGTATTGCCCCAGGGCGCCTTTCTTTATGCCAGTTCATATGGGCATGATGTGTGCATCACCTCCTAGCATCTGTGAAACTCTGCTCAGATGCAAGCGATAAGGGAGGTCTGGGGAGGTAAAGATGTGTGAACTGTCTTTAAGAAAATCAGAGCGACCTCTGGTGCCATGAGGAGGAGAAGAAGCTGAGAGCTGAGCTGCCTGCAGGCACTGTGTCTGATCCCATCCCATTCTCTGCAAACCAGCTCTCTCTTCATTTACATGAGAAAAATGCAGATTGGCATAGACAGGGTACCTTTCAGGGCAAGGAGGAGGAGGGGCTGTCTCATCTAATGCCATATTACAAGCAAAGCCACTGTGTGTTAACTGCTAGCATTTATCTCGACTTGATTCCCACAGCCTATATTACATCTTATGGCTAGTGCTTTCATATCCACCTTTGTTTCGTTGCCTCTCTGGTACCTGTGTACTGCAAGGTAGCAGGCTGCAAGTCTGAAGCAATGTTTAAGACTGTGTTTTATATGCTGGGCTGGTATCATTCCAGTGCAATTAAGTACTTTCCCTGTTTCTCCCTGTCTCCTTCTCTCTGTGTAGAGATTGATTAAGCTCTGACAAATCCAGCAAGAATCACCTAGGGGTGCAGCAAAAGATCATAAACCCCATCTCATTCCTGCCCAATCTACAATTAATCAATTAAAAAGCCTGATCGGGACAGATGTGTCTTCCAGGGCGGCATACAGGTCACAGGTCTTTATTTACTCCCCATGGAAACACTTATCTACTGTATCCTAAGATCTCATGTGTATTTGTGTATGTGCATATTTCATTACAGTATGCTCTATGCATATAAGGGTCAATGCTGTAAAATGGCAATTTTTTCCACACAAAACATCACATTTGTATCTCCTGTCTTCTGTCTGCCTTGTTTGCACCTTCGAAGACTTGATATTCACATGACTTTTGTACAAAAGGGAGAACCAGTTAATTTAGCTAGTTCTTGAGCCATGACTGAACTTCCTACACATGCCATATTCCACAAATCATACACATGCACTCACTGGTGTGTAGCACACTCAGATGCAGGGATTTACAGAATTAAATAAATACAGTGTGCCCTGGGTCTCCCCTTATTAGATAACACTTAACTGAGAACGGCTGCTATCAAAAGGTGTACATTGTCATCTTGTCAGGTATTACTACAGATCACTCACAAAGACTTATCAATGGTTTAAAATAATCATTGTTAATTGCAACATTGATATATAATGGAAAATTGTATACTTACCTTCCGTAATTTTCCTTTCCTGGTGCATCGATTGGCAGCACACCATGGTTAATGCAGAACATTGATTGTGATCATGTATTTTTTAAGGCTATATATAGCATAATACAATTCATCCAAATATACACACACACACACTCCAAAGTAGATAGCTAGATATTTGTCCATATACAGTACAATATAACTGAGCCTTGTTATGCTTTATTATTTCCTGCTAATTCATAACCTTCAACCAACTGACCCAGACATCACCCCTTACTGAGTATGCACTCCCTATTCATTTGCAAATGCATGCACACAAGAAAAAAAGCCACTCAGCTAAGTGACATTTACAGTCATGACTTCACAGAAATGTACCATCATATCGGTATCTTACCCCCACAAAAGAATACTACACTTTGCACACCAGGGAATAATATTTCTGAAATGAGGTAAGCAGAGATTATCACAGGAATCTTAAAGCGAAAAACTGCACATGTAGGAAAAGCTGAAATTAGAAATGGATGTAGAAGTAGTATAACTAAATGATTTTAGTTTTTGTGTATTTCATGAATTTATTAAAAAAGCAGAATATTTTTCAAATGATTAATGTAATGTGATTTCTGTGAATAAAAATTGTAAAACAAATAAATGAGTGAATTGTGAATATAATAAGCTAATTCTTCCTGGTTCTATTAAAAAACAAAAACTATATGATAGGCGAATGATCCCAGGCAAGGCCTTCCTTATAATGAGGCATCCTGAGGCAGGCATCATGAGGCAGCATCTCAATGCGTCACGTGGGGGGGTGGGGGGGACAGCAGGTGTTCCTGTTGCCCCCTTTCCAACCAGAGCATCCCAGGTTGCTAAGAGAAAGTGGACCTACTGATGTCACTGGTTGTCAGGAGCTGAGCGGGACACTCTGGCTGGTGTCTCACCCAGCTCCTGACAACCAGTGCTGTAGTCAGCTGGGCGGGATGCCAGACATGGGTACCATGCCCCCCTCTGTAACGTGTGCTGCCACCCCATCCCTCCCGCCTCTGGCGGTAAAAAATGTAGTGTTCACCAGTTGTAGGTGGTTTACAACAAGTGCTCAACCAACTGACAGGGCATTTCCAGAAAGAGGTAGAGATAGCTATTATATTGCTAAGACAGAAAGTGGCTGTTATGTAAGAGACAAGCATATGAGAGAGAGAGAGAGAGAGAGAGAGAGAGAGAGAGAGAGAAAAAAAATATATGAGAGAGAAACAAATATGAGAGAGAGAGAGAGAGAGAGAGAGAGAGAGAGAGAGAGAGAAAGATAGATAGATATATAGATAGTTAGATACATAGATAGATGGAGAGAGCACTTTATGTGAGAGACTTATACAAGAATAACTGCCTGTTATAAGGCAATGTGAAGAAGAGTGAGAGGCACTGTGATCTTTGTTTGTGAACACCCATGTTGCAATATGGTTCTTTTGTGGGGCTCGATTGCTTAGTAGTGGCTGCACTTGGTAACACTTGGTAACATTAAAAACATCAAAGTGCCAACATGTTTCGGGGGCAAACACAGACCCTCTTCTTCAGGGTTATAGGTGTAATTCAAAAGGGGAATCCCTTGGGGAATGGATTCAGGGAAACTTACAATGATAGTGGCTAGCCTTTCAATTGTTGACTGCTGCATGTGTCCTAGACATGTGCGATTCATTTCGTTCTGAATCAAAATTTGTACGAATTTTCTGAAATTCGGACACATCTGAATTTACAAATCCCAATGCATCCGAATGCATCCGAATCCAAATTTCCATTTCCAAATTTCATATCCAGTCCGAATTGTGTTCAAAAAACAAAATTGAATGGGACATGCTAATTTTCTGGCCAATCAGATGTGTTTTTCGGGTTAATGCATCTGAATGGGTCTGAATCCGAATTTTCGAGTTGCCATTTGGGTCTGGGAGCCTTAGGTCTAGTTCTACGTACATATGGGTCACAATGTTGCCGCTACAAATATTCGTTTGTATTATAGAACACTACTTATATATACATAATACTAAGACTGATGCTCCATGACCCGAATGGAGTCCAAATTTCTTAATAGCATTCGAGAGCTCTCGAATGCCAATCGGGTCTGGAAGCCTCAGCTTTCATATGGCTCCCACACCCGGATTGCTTTATGGAGCTCCCAAATAGTATTTGGAAATTCAGAGCTTCGGACTTCCGAATGCCATTCGGGCGTAGGAGCTTCAGAATGGTGGTGCGATCAGGCCCGCCTGTCGGTTTTTCAGACGGACCTGATCGAATGCCCAATGTAAGTCAATGATCAGACAGATCTAAAAGGACGGGAATCCGTTTACATCTGGTTGCCCCTGAGTCTGGTCAGTTCCAGGAAAATCAAACAGAACAGTGTTCCTTTTCAGTGGTCCTGATCGTGCCAGATCGGGGGTAATCTGATGTAAACGGGCACATCCGATTCTCCATAGACCTACATGGGGTACAGTCATTTCAGTTATTTCCTCCCTTGCCAGTCTTGCAAGATTGAGGAAAAAACTGGATGGACACAGATGTCACAGTGGTGACACCCTATCGATACTGCTACGTTCAGGAGGGGATCCTTATACTTCTAGTGAACCCCTCTGATTTAAAACATTCCACCTGTTCCAATCCTTATCCCTCTTCTCATCCTATGATTTGTGAAGCAGCAGTTAAATCACCCTTGATTCCTCCATGGTGAAGAGGTACTCACACAATATAATATGTACCGAATTTGTAGACATGTATAATAGTTATAGGTCAAATATTTTTTTTTTGCTTTAAATACATTTGATTTATTATGTTTATTATATATACAATCTTTGTTTTACTAATAAACATTTAAAACATGACAAATTATTATCAAAGCACTATTGGTATACTAAGTGACAGCAAACAAAGTTTGCTTTGCAGCTCCCTTTTTTTTAATTAAAACCTCCTACTAAGCCCTCTGATAAGGAAAAGAGAAATCAGTATCTTGCCTTCTTCCTGGATAGAAGACTGCATATTAAGATGATCTGATCTGATGATGTTCTGATCATAATAAAGAAAGGGAAAATGTGCACAATTATTATATATTCCCTTTAATTAGGTAAATGATGGTCAGAGAGTTCTAGGCAAAGGGTCTCTTTTCTAGGCATCAGTTTCAGTGTCAACAAATGTCAAAAAACGCTGGTGTTACTATCTGCCCTGCAAGGGACTAATAGCCCTGACCAGAAGGAAACCAACATACCAAAGACTACCAGATCCTAAAACCAATCCCAAATTACATGTTTATTCTTGGTTTGCTAGCTGTGCTCTCTCCTAAATCTCTGGCTCTTTAAGCCTATTTCTCCCAAAGGCACATTGCTGCTCAATATAATAAATGTAATAACAGGGATATACAACTATAAAACATCAATAAACACCTCTGTAAAAGTTTATTAAGGCTGTTTCCTGTGCTGCAGCTCCGTCAACCCTTTTATTAGACTGCTGGCAATGACATGGATTGGAAGTCAGCACTGTCAATTTTACTAGCCATTTATAACATATGTATGACATTCTTATTATTT